CAAACCTTAAACCAAACCCTAAAGTCAACTCTAAACAAATCGTTGTACTAAACCCTCAATTAAACCTTACAGGATAAACCAAACTCTAAAGCAAATCCTAAACCAAGCCCTGAAGTCACCTCTCGGCCAATCCTCCACCTAAACCTTGAACTAAACCTTTTCAATCTAAACCAAAGCCCAAACCAAGCCCTAAAGTCAACCCCAGACTAATCCCTCAACTAAGGCCTAAACCAAACCTTAAACTAAACCCTACATTCGAACCTAAACCAAACCCTGAAGTCAACTCTAAACAAATCCTTCTACTAAACCCTCAACTACACCTTAAAGGAAGAGCCTTAAACCAAACCCTAAACCAAGCGCTAAAGTCACCTCTAAGCTAATCCGCAACTAAACCTTCAACTAAACCTTAAAAGAAGCCTTAAACCCTAAACCAGACCTCAAGCCTAAACCAAACTCTAACCATAAAGCAAACCTTAAGCCAAGCCCTGAACCAAACCCTAAAGTAGACTGTGAACTAAACCCTAAACCTAACCCAACTCGAATCTCAACTCTAAACCCAACCCTATAAACCAACTACACGAAACTTAAAATGAACCCGAGACCAAACCCTAAACTAAATAAACCTTAAGCGTAACCCTAAAAACCACTCCTAAACTCAACCCTAAACTAAACCCCAAACTCAATTCGAAACTAAACCTTAAACTAAACCCTAAACCAAAACCTTAAAGCAAACCTTAAACCGAACCCAACAGCAAACCCTACACCAAACCCTACACCAAACTCAAACCAAAGCCTAAACCAAACCCTGAACTAAACCCTAAACCCAACTCTAAAACTCAACTCTAAACCCGAACCCTAAACCAAAACCTAAACAAAACCCCAAAACAAACCGTCTCCAACATTGAATTCACTGAAACCCTCGCGGGGGGTCCACAGTGCGAGTGTGAGTGCGACTGGGAATGAAAATGAAACTGAAACTGGGGTTGAGGGTGAGAGTGCGATTGCGAGTGCGAATGCGACTGCGACTGAGAGTGAACGGGAGAAAGTGAATGAGAATGTGACTGAAACTGAAATTGAAAACTGACATTGAAAATGAAAATGATTATGAAACTCAAAGTGAAACTGAAACTGAGAAAGAGAATGAAAGTGAGAATGTGCATCAGATTGAAAATGACAATCAACAGGAGAATGAGAATGAAGCTGCGAATGAAAGCGAAGATGCGACTGCGACTGCGACCGAGGGTGTGAATGCACGTGAATATGAAAAGTGAGAGTGAAAAGTGAAAGTGGGACTGCGATTGGGAATGCGACTGAAAATGGGAATGCATGTGACACGGAATGAAAATGAAAGTGGAAGTGCGAGTACGCCTGTGGTTGCGTCGGTGGACGAGACTCACACTGAGGGCGAAACCAAACCCTAAACTAAATAAACCTTAAACGTAACCCTAAAAACCACTCCTAAACTCAACCCTAAACTAAACCCCAAACTCAACTCGAAACTAAACCTTAAACTAAACCCTAAACCAAAACCTTAGAGCAAACCTTAAACCGAACCCCACAGCAAACCCTACACCAAACCCTACACCAAACTCAAACCAAAGCCTAAAACAAACCCTGAACTAAACCCTAAACCCAACCCTAAAACTCAAGTCTAAACCCGAACCCTAAACCAAAACCTAAACAAAACCCCAAAACAAACCGTCTCCAACATTGAATTTACTGAAACCCTCGCGGGGGGTCCACAGTGCGAGTGTGAGTGCGACTGGGAATGAAAATGAAACTGAAACTAGGGTTGAGGGTGAGAGTGCGATTGCGAGTGCGAATGCGACTGCGACTGAGAGTGAACGGTAGAAAGTGAATGAGAATGTGACTGAAACTGAAAACTGACATTGAAAATGAAAATGATTATGAAACTCAAAGCGAAACTGAAACTGAGAAAGAGAATGAGAATGAGAATGTGCATCAGATTGAAAATGACAATCAACAGGAGAATGAGAATGAAGCTGCGAATGAAAGCGAAGATGCGACTGCGACTGCGACCGAGAGTGTGAATGCACGTGAATATGAAAAGTGAGAGTGAAAAGTGAAAGTGGGACTGCGAATGGGAATGCGACTGAAAATGGGAATGCATGTGACACGGAATGAAAATGAAAGTGAAAGCGTGAGTGCGCCTGTGGTTGCGTCGGTGGACGAGACTGACACTGAAACTGAAAAGGACAGTGAAGGTGGGAGGGCGACTTCGACAGAGAATGAGAAGGCAAGTGAAATTGAGCAGCAAAATGACAATGAAGGCGAAGGTCAAATAGCGACGGCGGCTGAAAAAAAAACGAGAATGAAATTGAAATTGTAACTCAAAGGGAAAATGCGAGTGCAACTGCAAATGCATCTTAGTGGGAAACGAAAGTTGATACTACAAGTGAAAAAAGACCTGGGACTGGTTGCAAATAAGCACGCATTTGCGACTCAGAACGGGAGCAAGAATGGGAGCGCGACTGCGACTGCAAGTGCGATTGCGAGTGCGGCTGCGAATGCGACTGTGGCTGCGACTGAACATGCGACGGAGAGTGAAAATGAGATTGAAACGGCGACTGTGACTGAGAGTGCAAGTGGCAGAGATGGTGCGCTTGCGACTGCGATTGGGAGCGAAAGTGGGCATGGGAATGAGAGTGCGACTGCGAGAGCGACTGCGAGTGTAATTGCGAATGAAAATGAATCTGAAACCGACAAGTACAATGAGAGTGGGAATGAGACGGAGAATGAAAATAGGAAGGGGAGTGTGACTGCGACTGCGACCGAAAACGGCAGTGCGATTCAGGCCGAGGGTGAAGGTGACAGTGCGACTGCGAATGCAACTGCAACTCAGAATGGGGATGAAAGTGAAACTGTGAATGCGACTGCGACTGAAAATGACCAGGAAAATCAAGCTGCGGGTGAGAGTGAGCGTGAAAGTGCAACAGCGACTGAGAAGGACAATGTAATGAACCCATTGCAGGTGAGAATGCGGCAGAACCTAAAATGCGACTCAGAAGGGTAAGGAAAATGAAACTCCACATGAAATGGGTGAAGCTGTTAGTGAAATGAAAATGCGATTATTTCGACTGCGGCTACAGGTGAAAACGAGCATGAAACTGCGGGTGGGAATGAAGGTAAAACTTCTGAATATAAGGGTGCGAGGGCCACAAGGATTGCGACTAGGAGTGAAAACGACAATGAAACGGAAAATGAAGGCGAGAGTGCGACTGCGACGGGAAATGAAAATGAACATGACATGGAAAATGAAAGTGGTAATGAAATGGAGAGTGCGAGTGCGACTGCACCGGAGAATGGAAAGCGCAGTAAAACTGAGAGTGAAAGCGCGGGTGAGAGTCAGAGTGAAACTGAAAATCAAGGGGGGTATAGAAAATGAAAATGCCACTGCGACTGGGATTGAATTCAATCATCATCGTCATCATCCTCGTCATCACCCTCATCATCGTCATCGTTATCATTGCGGCTGCGAATCTGCGAATGCGACTGGGGCTGCGACTGAACATGCGACTGAGAGTGAGACTGAGAATACGAGGACTGCGACTGAGAGTGAAAGTGGGAGTGAGGGTGTGATTGCGACAGCGATTGGGAGCGAGAGTGGGCATGGGAATGAAGTGCGGCTGCGAAAGCGACTGCGAGTGTAATTGCGACCGAGAATGAAACTGAAACCGAAAATGAAAAGGAGAGTAGGAATGAGACGGAGAATGAAAATAGGAAGGGGAGTGTGACTGCGACTGCGACGGAAAATGCCAGTGCGATTGAGACCGAGGGTGAAGGTGACAGTGCGACTGCGATTCAGGATGAAATGGAAGTGGCATTGACAATGAAAACGACACTGCAACTACAACTGAGAATGGGAATGAATGCGACACGGAAAAGGGGAATGAAAGTGAAAGCGTGAGTGCGACTGCGATTGAAAATGACAAGGACAATGAAGCTGCGGGTGAGCTTGAAACTGCGACAGCAACTGAGAATGACAATATAATGAACCCACTGCAGGTGAGAATGCAGCAGAACTTAAACTGCGACGCAGAATGGGGAGGAAAATGAAACTGAACATGAGATGGGTGAAGCTGTTAGTGAAATGAAAATGCGATTATTTCGATTGCGGCTGCAGGTGAGAACGAGAATGAAAATGCATTTGAGAATCAAGGTTAGAGTGACAGCGAGACTGCGACTGCGGCTGGATTTGAAAAGGTAGGCGAAGGTGAGAATGAGACTGCGACGGCCATTGAGATTGCGATTGGGGGTGAAAACGACAAGGAAACGGCAAATGAGGGCGACAGCGCGACTGCGACGGAAAATGAACATGATCATGACATGGAAAATGAAAGTTGTAATGAAATGGAGGGTGCGAGTGCGACTGCAACTGAAGATGAACATCGCAGTGGAACTGAAAGTGAGAGCGCAGGTGAGGGTGAGGGTGAAACTGAGAGTCAGAGGGAGAATAAAAAATGAAACTGCCACTGCGACTGGCATTGAACCCAAGCACCATCGTCATCATCCTCGTAATCGTCATCGTTGTCATCATCATCATCATCACCCTTCGCCTCGTCGTCGTCAGCGTCCACGTTATCATGCGTATCACTACCGTCATCAGCATCGTATGTCATCGTCATCGTCATCGTCATCCACTATCATGGGCAGCGGCATCCGCAGCAGCATCGTCTGATGTTGAGAACGTGGGATCCACCGTAATGCAACACGTGGCATGAGACCTACAAGCAATGCTCGGGAAAAAAATTGTTCATAAAGATTGGTAGAAACGACAAGGCTCCAAAGTTAAAAAAACAACGCTAGTATTATGGAGTATTTCATTGCACTAAAAAAATATATTACCTCGTATTCCCAATTTGAGTACCACAATCTCGCATAATTTGCGTCCTGCTCAACAATTTCAAGCACATCCGAATCTCTGTTGCAAGGCTTTTCCAGCTTTTCAAAAATGCAAGCTCCCCGAGTTCAGTAATCGCTTAGTGTCGCTGATCTGGGTGGCGTCTGTCTCGATGGACCCCACGTCGGGGGCTGTAGGAAAACGGACAGCGTGGATAGCGCGTGCAGCGCAACCAGGGCTTAAGAAAGCCCGTGGCCATGCGCACCGCTTCCCACTGGATGCTGTTATGGTTGCAGACGGGGCATACATGAGTCGGGCCAGGGTGGTCCAGGGCCAGGTTTGGTGGACAATCTGGAGCGACCCAGCCCGGAGGGACGTCGGGAATATCTCCTGCGGCTCCAGCCTGAGATGACATCGCCCCTCCAGTTTCGTCCCCTGCCCTTCCCGGCCGCCTGCCCCTTTGCAAGGTCCGTCCCCGAGTAACACTGGCAGTAGAGGCAGCAGGAGGAGTCGGCGCCAACGGCGTAGCAGGAGTAGCTGGCAGTGCAGCAGGGGCAGCAGGAGGAATCGGCACCAACGGCGTAGAAGGAGTAGCGCCGGCAGCATGAGCTGCAGCGGCAACCGGCGCAGCAGGAGGCGCCATCGCAGCAGCAACGGCCGCCGGAGATGCGGTGGATCCCAAACTGCCCGATGCGGTGGTTGCATCTGCCAGCTGCTGCTGGCGCCTGTGGTACCCCGTCTCTTGCCCGAATTCTCTTTCTGTTTTAACCTTCGTGGCATGGAGCCTCGCGGCCAAAACCTGATGGAATTGGGCTTTCCGCTTTTTCCGTTCCTGTTCGGCGAGCTCCGATTCCAGCTCAGCCCTGGTTTTTGCGGCCTCTTGGTCGCATGCCAGCTGAGTCCTCACCTCCTCAATCGCCTTTTCCTCGGAAAGGCCGTGGGCCACCAGCATGGCTAGGTGCAGGATGGTGGCTTTATGCTTTGCGGTCCGGAGAAATATCCCAAACTGCTTTGAAAAGGCTCCACATGCATGGCCGGTGTTGGTTTTGAGGCCCAGGCACTTTGGGCACAGCAGCATGCGTTGAATGAGTGCGCGACAGCTGTCGCAGAAACATTTGGGATGCGCTTGAGGCCAAGCCTTCTTCACGGCTGTGAACTCAGCCGCCCAAGCAAGCAAGGTCTCCTTAGCTTCGGTCAGGTCAAGGAACTGGTTGTGGCCGCCCTGGGCATCAGGGTGGTGTAGCCGAACAGCCTGTTTCCAGGCTTTGGTGATGAGGCGATGCCAGAGACCTGGGTTTTGAGCGTAAGTTGCGAACAGGTCAACATCGATGTGTTCAGTGGCTGCCAGGAATGCCCCCAACGGGTTCGGCAATGGTGCCCCTGGGACCTCTTCGCCCATTTCCACGGACCCGTCGTCCGAATTGTCGGGCGAAGCTGCAATCTCCTCAGCTTCCACGACACCATTACCAACATCCTCACCTTCCGTACCCTCAACAGGAGAAGCGCCCTCCCGGATGACCTCGTCCAGGTCATCCAGGTCAATGCCACCCAGGTAAGGGTCGTCAGGGGCTGCGACAACAGCCTCTGAGGCCGGATCTTCCACCTTGCACGGGTCACCGAGGCTTGCGCTGAGAACCTGTGCAAGGAACTCATCATCCAAATCGTGTTCGTCGGCATCTGCCGGCTCCTGTTTGGCCTCCATGCCGTCAACACCAACGGCAAAGACCAAGAGCAACATGATTCCCCAGTTCCACTGGAACATGTTTTCGCGGCGTGAGAGCGGCAAACAGCGAGAAACCTATCCAAAGCGCTTTCGCGGCAGCTGCATGAACGGTAATATATATACGTGTTGGAAAAGCAACAAACAAACCAACACTGTGTCACTGCAGGAGCATGACGAGCAGCATGTGCTCTCGCACTTTCATCTTAGCACATACATGTGTGTGCACGCTCGTAACAACCCACACACCAAAATGCATTTCGCTGTGCCCGCATAGTCAGCCTTCAGGTGTTTCGAAACGAATCGTGGTGTATGTTAACCTCAGGAGCATCATCCGCGTGGACACCGACGTGTTTACATGCACATGGTTGCGCGTGCACCCGACACCCGCACCACAGCAGCTCCCCACCAAAACTTCGAGGTTAACACAAGCTAACACTTGGGCGGCCCAGGTGCAGTTCGTCGGAGTAAAAAACCGTCACCACATGTGAAAATCGCTGCTAGACACACATAAAAACCAAACAATGCATACGGACAATGCACAACCACTCGTGCCGAACGTCGTTCGTTTTTGGTGCGGGAAGGGACGCAAAAAATCAATGAAACTTTTATCAGTGTTGCTGGAGGTTGAGAGGCCCAGGCGAAAGGCGAACCCTGAATGCTTGGTCCCCAGGGAAGGGATCATTGTGCTGCGTGGCGGCGGCGTGCGACAATGGCGGTGGCCTTGCCCTGGCAGCGTGCTTACGGCGGTGCCTCACTCTATGGCAGGTTGTGCGACGTGGCAACGGCGTGTGTGTGCCGGCGGCGGTGGCGCTGCCATAGCAGCGGCGTGCGGCGGCGGCTTTCGGGCTGCCATGGGCAGCCGGCGGGAGAAGGGAGGCCGGCAGCGCGTGCACTTGCTGCCAAAACCTGGGTTTAAGGCACCCCCCAGTGCATCACGCGGATACGACAAAGCAAGCACTCGGTGCACAAAAGTGTCTACGGGCAAAAATTGACATTACGCGTTTCACATCGATACATTGGCAATGTTTGGCTTCCCGATGATTGTGGGGGATGCCAAAAGCGGACGGGTCGCCGCGAGCGGCGGCTGGCGACAGTGGTCGACACCCGAAAGATGCTACACACACGCTCTTTGAAACATTTGTTGCGGCATGTCGTGGCCTTCTCACGCAAACGTACTGCTTTTGCGGCGGGGTCGGCAGCAGATTTTACTCGGAACAACCACGGCTGACGGGGTCTATTTGGTCGGACGAAACCTCACAGCGTTTTTGCATCACTCCTGCGTGGAACTTCTCGTCGTCGGCGCACGAAATGCACCGCAAATTCTGCAGGTGCCGAGGGGAAGATTTCTCAAGTTTCTTTCAAGCGGCATCGACACCGACACCGACACCGACAATGACGACACCGACACCGACACCGACAAAACACCGACACCGATCAAGCGGACCACTCCAATCACATCGACACCGATCACACAAAAACCGCTCACACCGACACGGGCCAGAAAACACCGACGACACCCACACCGATCACACCGAACACGCCGACCCCGATCACACCGACACTGACCACACCACCACCGAAACCGACACAAAACACGCTCACACCGACCCTGACCACACCGACACCAACCACAACGACGAGACCTCGAGCGACGCCGACACAAACACTGACGACACCGACACCGAAAAGGACTGTCTCCGTTCCCCGACACCGACACCGTAAAAACCACCACAACAAACACCACACCGACAGCGACCAGGCCGGCTCCGATCACACCGACACCGATCACAGCTATCGCACCGATCACCGATCAATCCGACATCGATCACACCAACCACACGGACATCACAACTTACAAGGCACAAATCACTAGTCACACAGATCACCCGGATCACACCAACACCGATGATAACGATCGCGACGATCACATCGACACTGATACACTGATGCACCGACACCGATCACTCAGACACCAACCACTCGGACATCGGCCACTCCGACACCGACCAAACCGACACCGAAACTGACCTCAGCGACAAAGAAAAATCGACAACACCCACACAAAAACCGAAACCCAAAAGGATACGGACATCGACACGGCGATAGCGACAAAGGCACCAACAGCAGACGACCGCATAATTTACACCGACAAGACACCAGCAAAGATCACACCGACACCGATCACATGAATCACACCGACACCAACCAAACGACCCACACAAATCACATCGACACCGATCACACCGGAACAGCTCATGCACACACACACACACACACACCCACACACACACACACACACACACACACGCACACACACACACACATGCACACACACACACACACACACACACACACACACACACACACACACACGCACACACACACACACACTGTGGCCACACACAAACACCCCGAGATCACACCGACCGCGACCACACCACCACCGCAACCGACACCGAACACGCCGACACCGATCACACCGACATCGACCACGATCACACCGCTTTCACCGATGACACGGATCACACCGAGACCGAGTACACCAATCACATCAACACCGCAACCGACACCGAACACCAGCGACAAGGCCGACTCCGATCACACCGACACCGATCACAGCGATCGCACCGATCACCGATCAATCCGACAACGATCACACCAACCACACCGACATCACTACTCACAAGGCACAAGTCACTAGTCACACAGATCACACGGATGACACCAAGACCGATGACAACGATCACGACGATCACAGCAACACCGATACACCGATGCATCGACACCGACCGCACCCATCAACACCGACCACACCGACACATCCTCACCGATCACATCGACACCGTGTACACCCCCACCGACCACACCGATCACACGCAGCACATCGACACAGGACACACCGACGACACCGACACCTGCACCGACCACCCCCGCCGCCACCAGCACCGGCACCAGGCACCAGCACCGGCACCAGGCACCAGCACCGGCACCAGCACCGGCCACACCGACACCTACCACCGACACCGATCACACCGATAACACAAACCACAGCGACACCGATCACACCCACCACCCAAAACACAGACCACACCGACCACATCCTCGCCGACCACCGATTACACCCACACCGACCACACCCATGACATCGACACCACACACACCGACGACACCGACCACTCCACCGCCACCGGCACCACCACTGGCACCGACCACACTAGGAGCAGATCGACAATGACACCGACTACACCGACACCGACAAACCCGAAAACATAGACCACACTGACCCCGACCACACCGACAACGATCACACCGACACCGACCACCGACACCGAACACGCTGATAGAACCGGTCACACCGGCAGCACCGATCACAACGACATTGCCCATACCGATCACACCGAAAACACAGGCCCACACCGACACCGATCACATCCAACACCCAACACAGACCAAACCGACCACATCCTCACCGACCACATCGACAACGATTACACACACACCACACAGAGCACACCCATCAAGTCGATAACAGACACACCGATGACACCGACACCTGCACGGACCACCCCCACCGCCACCGGCAGCGGCACCAGCACCGACCACACTGATAGCAGACCGACACCGACCGACAACACCTACATTGACCAGACCAACACCAATCAGAATAATAACACCAACCACACCGACACCTGTCACACCCGCTCCGAAAATACACAGGCCACACCCACCCCGACCACACCGACACGGGTCACATAGACAGCGACCACCGACACCGACCACACCGATAACACGACACCGTCCACCCCGATCAAGCCCAAAACGCAGACCACACCGACACCGATCCCACACAACACCCAATACACCGACCACAGCGACAGTGATCGCACCCAACACCACATCCTCGCCGACCACCGATTAACACCGACCACACCCATTACATCGACACCAGAAACATCCTCGACAACGACAACCCCACCGCCACCGGCACCGCCACCAGCCAGCACCAACCACACATCGACAATGACACTGACGACACCCACACCGCAACTTTGGCAGACCAACTGCTGCTGTGAGCACACACAGACACGTGCGAAGCAGAAGAAAGCAATTCAGGGCTGCACCCAAGGGTCAGGGGCCGGCCGACCAATTCCTGCTGTGGGCATACACATGTGTGTTTCTGAGTACACACATCTGTCTAGTGCAGGACAAGTCAATTGAAGTTTTGATCTAGCAAAAAACTTTGGCAGACCGGTTGTTGCTGTGGGCACATACACACACAATTGCTGCTGTGAACACACACATGTGTGTGCCTGAACAATCCAGTGAAGAAGTCAAGTGAAAGTTCTGAACATTCAACAACTTTGGCAGACCAGATGCTGCTGTGAGCACACACACACATGTGTGTGTTGCAGGAGAAGTTGACTGAGGGTGAATACACACGTGGTCTGGTGCAGAACAAGTCAACTGAAGCTTTGATCATATTAAAAGCTTTGGCAACCGATTGCTGCTGTGAGCACATGCACACATGTGTTGCAGAAGACGTCAACTGAGGGCTGGCCGACCAATTGCTGCTGTGAACACAAACATGTGTGTTGCAAACTGCAGAACAATAAGTCATGTGAAAGTTCTAAACATTTCAACAACTTTGCCAGACCAACCGCTGATGTGAGCACACACACACATGTGTGAAGCAGAAGAGGTGAAGAAGTCAATTAAGGGTTGCACCCCAGGGCCAAGGGTTGGCCGACCAATTGCTGCTGTGGGCATGCACATGTGTGTTTCTGACTGCACACGTATCTGTTGAAGTCCATTGAACTTCCATCAGACCATCATTTCAAAAACTTTGGCAGACCGATAGTTTGCTGTGAGCACATACACACATGTGTTGCAGAAGGCGTCAACCAAGGGCTGGCCGACCAATTGCTGCTGTGAACACACACATGTGTGTTGCGGACTGCAGAACAATCCAATGAAGAAGTCATGCGAAGGCTCTGAACATTCAACAACTTTGCCAGACCAACCGCTGACGTGAGCACACA